AGGTATCTGCCAATTAATTCCGTTGCTTCTCGGGTGGACGTATAACCGGGCTGCCACCCTTCCCATCACGACAACAAACATACAACAGCACCAGCCTGCCACGAAAGTTAAGTGTTGAGGATTTCAAAACGAAATCTGCCCCTGTCACTCCAGTGGTAAACGGAGACTGGAAACGGGTTGGTCGAGTTCCTGTTGAAAGATTCTCACCATAAATCCGCGCTTCACTCCTAAAGCAACAGGGGGAATGGCGGAATCCCATGTGGATTTTGTCAGGAGGTCCCCTGCCCCCGGGCTCTTAGCTCCCCCTGGGTTTCCAATCACTGTCAGTGGCAGGGGGCTTCTTCCTGCTTTCCCTTTTGCCTCCCTGCATTGTGCCTACATATGCAAATTAACCGCCATCTTTGTTGGCAGTTAACCACCATCTTAGTTGGCAGTTAATTTGCATATCGCCCTGATTAGCCAATGAAAAGGGTAGTGGTCGTACGCTAATTACCATGTTTCTCTTTTATTAGATAGGATATATATATATATAAAAGCCTAAGCAACCATTAGGACTGGTCAACCAAATGACCGGCTGCATGACATGCACTGACCACCAGGGGGAAGACTATCAATGCAGGAGTTGCCCCCTGGTGTTCTCCCACAGCCAACCTCCTGTGGCCCCTCCCCCACCCCACCCCCTGCAGGCCAGGCCAAGGGACCCCACCCATGCATGAATTCGTGCACCGGGCCTCTAACATATATATATAATCTAAAAAGAAATACATTAAAATGCACTGATATTTAATATATCCGTTAACCCTGGCATCCTCACCAGAACTATTTGACTATTTGTTAAGAATCTTTATGGTAGAAGGGCACATTGTTTTTTCATACTTTGCCTCTATGAGAAGGGACTTTCCTAGTCAAATGCTTGGTCTCTCTACCATTCAACCCAATGCTGTCAGTCTTATCCAATCTAGCAATGCCTCAACTGGGTAAATGTGCTGATTGGTTGATTCTTGTATGTGCCCTGAGGGGATCAAACCTGCAACCTTAGCCATACAGGGACTGAGCTACACAGGCAGGGCAGTAACTGTCATCTATAAAATTAACTCTCATATATTGATATCTAGAAAAATTAAAAGCATAATTTTCTGACATGCTTAAGATTATTTCAGTGGGTTTGAAGTGCATTTGTCAAAAATGAAATAGTCAAATTATTTATTGCTTTGAAAGAACTACTAATTGGTATCCGGGAACATGGAAATTAAAATTTACAAAAAAACAAAATTTAACTACATTTTTGTGTAAATTTGTAAACAGGATTGAAAATTCAGTATCACTATTATTTTTTAAATATTTTAAAATTGATTTATAGAGAGAGAGGAAGGGAGAGGGAGAGAGAAACATCAATGTGAGAGTGAAACATTGATCTGCCTCCTCTTGCAGGATCCCTACTGGGGATCAAGCCCACAACCTGGGCATGTGCTCTGACTGGGAATAGAACCAGCAACCTTTTGGTGCATGGGGCAATGCCAGGGCTCAGTATTTTTTTAGTGCAGGCAAATAAACATTTCTTTCATTTGATTCTACCTCTGGTTGTGAGGGCTCTTTTTCAAATAGTGACAACTACTAAATGCAAGTATTAAAATAAACTGAACTTCTAAATAGAACTTTTAATTGCTTCAATAAAAAATTTAAACCAAGCCCAGCTGGTGTGGCTCAGTGGTTGAGCTTAGACCTATGATCCAGGAGGTCATGGTTCGATTCCTGATCAGGGCATATGCCTGTGTTGCAGACTCAGTCCCCAGTGTAGGGTATGTAGGAGGCAGACAATCAATGATTCTCTCTCGTCATTGATGTTTCTATCTCTGTCTCCTTCTCCCTTCCTCTCTGAAATCAATAAAAATACATTAAAAAATTTAAACCAAGACTTTAAAAATATAAGTTTTGGTAATGCAAAATAAAGATGGAAGGAACCTAGCTGGTTCTCTTAATCACTGCATGGTATGTCACTCACCATAAGCCCCCAGTAATATATTATGCAAATGAAAGTAAGTCTTAGTATATTAAGGCACTTAGATTTCAGTGTTTACTTATCCTACCTTGATAAGTACAGAAGTTGATACTTTCACATGTGCTGCAGTTGTAACAAAACCCTGAAATAAGTGTATTTTCAGCAGAAGGTGAAAATACAATATAGCAGTTGGCCGTCTGGAGAGTTCTTCTGTTCCTCAGTGAATTTTCAGTAAAGCTGCCCTGGGAGAATCTGCAAGGCAGACCACATATCTACCGAGTCTGTAGATCTAGGGCAGTGGTCAGCAAACTCATTAATTAGTCAACAGAGCCAAATATCAACAGTACAACGATTGAAATTTCTTTTGAGAGCCAAATTGTTTAAACTTAAACTATATAGGTAGGTACATTGCTATTAACTTAATTAGGGTACTCCTAAGGCTTACGAAGAGCCACACTCAAGGGGCCAAAGAGCTGCATGTGGCTCTCGAACCGCAGTTTGCTGACCACGGGTCTAGGGGAAGTCATTGGAAGTGTCAGTGCAATAGTGTGCTGGCCACACTTGAGCAAGAAAGACACACTCAGATGAGTTTGGGAGGCTTTTCAAGCAGAAACGAGGAAGTTCAAGGATCAAGGGCCTCTCGTGGTTGAAAAGATGATAGCTTTGGGACCTGAATGACAAAAGGGCCAGTGATATTTCTCAAACAACTCAGCCCTTCAGTAAATATCAGATTAGGAGAGGTACTTTTCCACCTTAACATACTGATTCATATTGCCTCAAGGTACCTGCCATTAAACTGAAGAGAAAACATGGGGACCAGGAAACAAAGAATAAGGCAAGTTTAATAACCATTTAAAACAAACAAATAAACAAACAAAAAAACAACACCTTGGCACATGGAACTGACTGAAAGTAAATAGATCAGGAACTTATTTTTTAAAAAAAAGTTTAAAAGAAATAGTAGTGCCAAAGAAACCATAAGCTAGGGCTTAAAAGGGGGGGGGGGCGGGTGGCGGCTTATAACTAGCCTTGGTCAGGAAGATATGAATGCTGCACAGTCCGCAAGGAGAGACTATTCCTCAACAATCATTCTATATTTCTAGGGAGGATCATGGTGAAGGAAGAAATTCAGAGAGAGGAGCCAAGAACCACAGAAAGAAGAATCAGAGACAGAACAAGAAATTGTCTACATCTTGGGTAGTCACCCTTCACTGTGTCTTCCCAGAAAGATTTAATAATTTCTATGGCTAATTGGCTGTGTATTTCATCCTTCCCTCTTTTGACTGGAAGCTTTTATTGCAGTAATACTGGGGAAAGGGCATAGAGCACGGGACTCAGGGAAGGCTACATAATTTGTGGGGACCAATGCAAAATGGGGGGCCCCTTGTTCAGTAAGTAGGGAAAATGTGCCAGTAAAGACACTAAAATATCAAGCATTGGCCTTTCTTTTACAGTATGTTTGACTTATCATGGCATTTTATATTTGCTACTTAATAATGTCACTCTAAATAAATATTTAATCTTACTATTCATGTTTTTATTGTTCATTGCCAGTTTTAAATGAAATACAACAGCATTGAACTCAAATGAGGAATTGCTGAAATTACACAATTCTTGCTTTGTGACAACTAATTTGACTTTTTATTTTGCTTCTCGATGTGTGCACATCCTTTAAATACTCTGCTTTTGGCTTACAGATGAGTAAGGAAGGAATGAAAGCAGGAACTATGGTTGCTCTATCTTTCCCTTTCCAACTATGACCATTTCAGTATACAGTAGGTCCTCCGGTGACATCGGAGATCCGTTCCTACGTAATGTGACGTAATGCGCTTTTTGCCGTAAGTCGGAACCCACCTACATAAGCACCTACGTCACTCACATGGAGCCCATACACAGCAGTAATGGAGTGAACAGTAAAAAAAAATTAAAAGAAAGATAACATTTCCTGACCTTTACTTGTGGTAAATAAATAATAAAAAACATAAAGCATATATGTACATACGTCGAAATTATATATATATGATGGCGATGTAACAACAAGATGAAGTACATCGAGTCCGCCGTAACCGGAGGACTGCCAGTAGTGGTTGACTAATCCAGGGAAAGAGAGCACAAGAGAAAAAAAAGGGTATAATAAAGTTTCCTGGTCTTTTGTGTTTCTTAAAAGACCATTTCCTTCTTTCTGTGTTTGAAGCAAATTTTTGGTCCAAATGGAAAGTATGACCTCTCAGGGCTGTCAGTGCACTGCTGCCCTGCTTACTCAACCATAGACATAACGTGCGTACCTGTACTCACACCGAGTTTTGCTAAATTCCCAAGCATCACAAATCAACTAGGTTCTATGTTCATATTTCAACACAAATACTGTATGAGATTGGGGTAGCAAGGGATGGAGCACACACATATTGCACATATCTGCTCTGCTCATGTGCATGCTCCATTATCCCATTGTTCTTCACTTCCAAAACACAAGTTTAAAGCACAAATGATTAGTCATTTCATGACGGTGAGCGCAGAGCATTAAACCAATTGCAGGGCCCCATCTGAGTGTGGGAACCTGTGCAACTACACAGGTCACACACCCGTGAGGCCAGTCCTGCCTGGACGTGAGAGGGCCACAGCAGACAGGAGCCTGGAGATCCTGGACTTGGAGCTCCATTCTGTGACAGGGATGGGGCCTTGGGTGATCTCAGTTGGGGAGAGGATGAATAAGGCCTTTGTTGGGGGAAAAAGAGTGAAATGGAGTTTTGGGTGAATAAAAGGATACATTATTGTACTCACCAAAGCCTGTTATTTCTTCCTTCACAGAAAAAAAAAAAGAAAAGAAAAGACTATCCTCTTAGTTTGGTATGCCATATGACTGAGTCCTGTCCAGGGGAATGTGGGCAGAAGGATGTACAGCAGTTCTGTGCCTGGACAGTAAAATCTTCTCCCATGGTCCTCCCTCTCTCCCTTCCCTGGCCTGCCAGGCAAATGCTGTAAAGCCAGCAGAAGACTCCAGTCTCCCAAAGGGATGGCTGAGCTAGTTCAGAGAGGTCCTGGATCTCACCAAATGCTTTGAACAACACACAAACTTCTACTGTGATATTTGGGCTTGTTTATTACAAATGTTAGCCTTTTACAAATAGAAGAAACTGTTAGCCTCATAATAAGCTACTTTTAATTCAGGGATTTATCATCATGGGGACTTAAGTGGCAACAAGACAAATCAAGTTAAGGATGTCAGCTGATCTTAGAGACTGGACAGACATAGGGCACAATTCAGGGATGTGAAGATTTTGTTGGTGGCAATCACTGGTTCCAGGGAGCCCACGGGTTGATTACAAAACTTGGGAATAAGGCTAATCATGGATGTTTATGTTAAATAACTATAGTTTTAAAGTTGGTGGGCCATGTGGCTGGGAGTGAAGAGTGGAACAGGTGACCTTTCGGCACACAGGACACTCAACCAACTGAGCCACTCCTGCTGGGCCAAACATGCACATTAACACACACACACACACACACACATATGAGTGTGTGTGTGTGGGTGTGTGTGTGTGTTATGATCTCAAAAAAGGAGGGAAAAGGAAAAGAAGAGATAGAAACATCAATGATGAAGAGAATCATTGATTGGCTGCCTCCTGCATGCCCCTACTGGGGATCGAGCCCGCAACCTGGGCTTGTGCCCTTTGATGGGACTCAAACCCAGGACCCTTCAGTCTGCAGGCTGACGCTCTATCCACTGAGCCAAACCAGCTAGGAAAAACATGCACATCTTTAAAAATAAAATAGCCCTGACTGGTTTGGCTCAGTGGATAGAGCATTGGCCTGCAGACTGAAGGGTTCCAGGTTCGATTCCAGTCAAGGGCATGTACCTTGGTTGCAGACACATCCCCGGGGGGGGGGGGGGGGGGAGGGGGTACTGGAGGCAGCTGACCGATTCTCTCTCATCGATGTTTCTAACTTTCTATCCCTCTCCCTTCCTCTATGTAAAAGATCAATAAAATATATTTTAAAAGAAATAATAAAAAATAAAAGTTTAAGCACAAGGAAAGTGATTTAAATAAAATATTTTAGTGCTGAAGTAAACGGTGATACCAATAATGAGGCATTCATATCAAGGAAGGACTTGGGAGGTGAGGGATTGTGTGTGTACTACCTTCTATCACACACAACCCCCAAAATGTGATGCATAGCAAGTATTCAATAAATATTTCTTTATGGGCTGTTCGGTTGCTGTGACTAAAACTTCATAATTTTGACAAATATTGATGTAGTAGAACATGCCACCAAGTCTGTCTCAAGTTCCAGTTCTCTTTAGCAGCCCTGGCTCACCATCCAAATGATTGTGTTCTGAGGTCTCTCAGCCACATTTCATCACAGTTGTGACAGCATTGAAGTGGCTGAGTAAATGTAGTGCCTGTTCATAAAATCATTTCAAGTAAAGGGCTTCAAGATCCTTTCAGCTGTTATTCAAATCTATATCATCATTTACTGTAAAACATAAAACATCAAGGCCTCATATATTTCTTCCCTCATTGAACTTAACACTAGGCAAGCTATGTGACAGGGCATAAGGTTGGTCACTCAGAATTTGTGTCCTCAAGAATTCTATCCTTTCTCTAAATTGTGGGTAATTGGAATTGATGGTCTCATGAAGTTTAAGGGACTTAAATGCACTAGGCTAAAAATTTCAGGCTTTGAAATGAACAGGCCACACACAGTGGGTGCAGAAAACTGGGAAGTTATTATGTGTCTGTTTTGAGAAAAACACTTTGCCGCTGCTGACATTCTGTAACTTTCTATTATAGTTTCAAGAAAAGTAAGCCAAACTGGTTGCCATGGAAATGATTATGATGTCACAGAGGATGATGACTTCTCATCATCTACAAGAAGCAGGAGCAGATGTGCTTGTAAGAAACAATGAACTTGTTTTCATACAAATGTTCTCAAAATAAAACACAAAAGAAGAAAAATACCCTGAGCACATATTGTAAAAAAAAAAAAAAGAATCGCTTCTAAATAGAATGTTTTACAACGTTTTCCATAAAGACTCAGCTGCTCCTCAAAGCACAACCAGCTTGAACATGGACAGCAGCCGTGAAATCACAGTACTCACAAAATTAGTATTCAGGTTGCACAATCTCTCCTTTCAAAGGCTCCAAGCATACTTTATGCATGCCCAATTACAGAAGCAGGTAATGAGAGAGATTCTGATTTTCCTTCCATTGTTGTTATTGTACTGAGCTAGATAAAGCTTGATAAAATTGCTTTGTTAAAAGTAAATCTAAGCAATAATTTATTAATTCCATTGGAAAGATCTTTTGGCTTTTATTATAAGATGCATTGGATAATTTTTTGAAAACACATTATTCTGTCCATGGAGACGGGTAGCAACATATCAACTTTTAGTAAAGAATCAAAAGCTCAGTAACAATTAATAATCTGCAAGCTACCGTATTTCTTTTTACAATTTTATTATTTCACACCACAATTAATTTTACTACAATTATTGGAGATTTTTAAAGAGGATAGTCAAAGTTTATGACTCTGATCTTCTGAAATGCATAGATAGGATAAACAATATATCAAACGAATGGGTTGTGTCAAAATATATTACAGCGCTTCCTACATCACTTTAAACTTAATCCTATACTTTGATGCTCATTTGATGATACCCTCCTAAGGTAAGTCTTCAGATTCTCAAATATCACCCACCAAAACCTCAAATATTTCTTAGAATTTATTAAAGTTAAATAAAATTAATTATAATAAAATTCTCACTCCCTGCAGAAAAAAAACAAAACAAAAAAGAAACCTCCATCTAATTTGTAACATATGTCTATATCTATAAAAGCCTAAGTGACCATCTGACCATTTGACCGTTCAAACAATACCTATGATGCACACTGACCACCAGGAGGTAGACGCTCAACACACTGGCATGGAAACATGGAACAGACTGATGAATCTCAGAGGGAAGGGGGAAGGGGAGAGAATGGGAAGAGATTAACCAAAGATCTTATATGCATACTAGAGGCCCGGTGCATGGATTCATGCACCAGTGGGGTCCCTTGGCTCAGCCTGCAGGGATGGGGTTGAAATTGACAGTCCAACATCCCCTGAGGGGTCCCGGATTGCGAGAGGGCGCAGACCAGGCTGAGGGACCCCACTGGTTTACAAATC